CGACAATCGGAGTGACAAATCCGAATCTCGAAATACGCCAACTCAACATGTACCTTCGGAGACACCTGTAGATCTCCTTTATAATCACCCAGTTATGTTGTGACGTTTTGTAGCACACAAAGTGTTCCTCCGGTGAACGGGAGTTGCATAATCTCATAGTTGTAGGAACATGTATAAGTCATGAAGAAAGCAATAGCAACATACTAAACGATCAAGTGCTAAGCTAACGGAATGGGTCAAGTCAATCACATCATTCTCCTAATGATGTGATCCCGTTAATCAAATGACAACTCATATCTATGGTTAGGAAACTTAACCATCTTTGATTAACGAGCTAGTCAAGTAAAGGCATACTAGTGACACTATATTTGACTATGTATTCACACATGTATTATGTTTCCGGTTAATACAATTCTAGCATGAATAATACACATTTATCATGAAATAAGGAAATAAATAATAACTTTATTATTGACTCTAGGGCATATTTCCTTCATTAATCATAAGTGGGATCCTTGTCCAAGGAAGGGCAACACCCAAGCACCGGTCCACCCACATATCAAATTGTCAAAGTAACGAACGCGAATCATATGAGCATGATGAAAACTAACTTGACAATAATTCCCATGTGTCCTCGGGAGCGCTCATGCTTTATATAAGAGTTCATCTAGGCTTGTCCTTTGCTACAAAAAGGATTGGGCCACCTTGCTGTGCCTTAGTTACTTTTGCTACTTGTTACCCGTTACGAATTATCTTATCACAAAACGACCTGTTACCGATAATTTCAGTGCTTGCAGAGAATAGCTTGCTGAAAAACCGCTTATCATTTCCTTCTGCTCCTTGTTGGGTTGGACACTCTTACTTATCAAAAGGACTACCATAGAACCCATATACTTGTGGGTCATCAGTGACCACCCCAAGGGTTGCCAAAGTGTACGGGTTCGGTGACCGCCCTCAAGGGCCCCTTAGTGGAATCATGGCATCTTGCATTGTGCGAAGGCATGAGGAGATTACGTGGGCCCTAGTGGCTTTCTTGGGGAGTATTGTGCCTCCACACCGCTCCAAACGGAGATTAGCATCCGCAAGGGTGTGAACTTCAGGATACATCATCGTCTCCGCGTGCCTCAGTTATCTCTTACCCGAGCCCTTTACTTATGCACTTTACTTTGTGATAGCCATAGTGTTTCATGTTATATATCTTGCTATCACATAGTTGTTTATCTTGATTAGCATAAGTTGTTGGTGCACATAGGTGAGTCTAGTTGTTTTAGGTTTGTGCCTGGCAAATTAATTGCTAGGTTTATTCCACATTTGTTCAAGCCTAAACTGTAATTATTTTAAAGTGCCTATTCACCCCCCTCTAGGCGACATCCACGATCTTTCAACGTTGTTTGAGAGAGAACAACTTTTATACTATACCTCCACGAATTGATAAACCTTAGGGCATCCACTTGAGGGAAATTGTTGTTGTCCTACAACCCTCTACGCTTGGTAACTGAAGTGGCTTTTGAAACATTGAGCAAACTCTCATTACAATACGAGTGTTAGCACTTCTTGGTTCTAATAAAGTGTTCATTGCAGAAAATGATGCTTGTGATAGTGGTATATGTGTTGTTTTAATGCAGGAAGGTCACCCATTGGCATTTGTTAGTAAAGCTCTTTTCAGCCTATCAAAAGGAATATGTGGCTATTCTGCTAGCTATTCAACAGTGGAGATCTTATTTACAGTTCAAAGAATTTTTCATTCGAGCAGATCCGAAGATTTTAGTTCTTCTCAATGATCACAGACTTCACAGTGAATGGCAACCAAAGGCATTGTCCAAGTTACTGGGTTTGTCCTATGAATGTTCTACAAGAAAAGCAATGAGAATTTTAGCAACATATTCTTTGTCAAGAAGACCTCATGATCCAAGCACATTAATGGCTATTTCTTCTGTTCAATCGGCTTAGTTAAAAGAGGCCGTTCACAAGTCATAACTATGATGAAGATACTACGGCCTAGGAACTCTTGCAAAAAATTAGTCTGAATCCTCATGTTAAAGTGCATTTCCTACTCTATAATGAAATTCTTAAATACAAAGGTTGCATTTGGATTGGCTCCAATCCAGCTCTACAAGCCACAAATTTTATAAATTTTCATAACAGTGTTTTAGGTGGCCATTCAGGCTTTCCAGTGAGAATCAAGGCTTTGTTCAAGCGGACATGCATGAAACATTTCATTAAATAAATGGTGCAACCTTGTCTTATCTATCAACATGCCAAGGCTGGAAGAGTAACTTATCCAGGTCCGCTTTGTCACTTCCTTCTAAAGCCTGGGAAACTATCACGAGGGATTTCGTCTCATGTTTGGATGCTAGAGCTATCGTGCATGAAACAATAAGACAACATTTGTTGAGAGCTCAGCAACGTCAAAAGACCAAGGTTGACAATCAGAGAACTGAACACATTAATATTGGAGATAGGGTTTTTGTAAAAATGCAACCTTATGTTCAATCATTTGTGGTTCATCGTGAAAATCATAAACTTGCATTCAAGTTTTATGGTCTGTATTTGACTATTCCACGATTGGTGACGTTGCTTAAAGACTGGAATTACCAGATTCTAGCAGAATACATCCGACTTTCATGTTCTCCAATTCGAGAAGTATATTCTACTTGTGGCTCAAGTTCAAACATCTTTACCTCATGTTGATGATGAATTTCAAATTCCTCTCAAATTTCTCAGTCGCAGGGTTCGTCATGTGGGGTCCAAGACTATTCCTCGGGTTCTTGTTGAGTGGTATAGGTCTCCTTCGGCCGATGCAAGATGAGGATTCATTCAAGGAAATGTTTCCTTGTTCTATGGCTTGGAGACAATCCACTTCTCCAGAACCGTGGGGTGTGAACGCTCATGCATCTACGACTACGAAGAATGACAACACTGAAGGCGCGAGAATTCAAACTGAAGAGGCGGGCCGGCCCACCAGGGAAAAAGGATCGCCTCATTGGCTTGCTGACAAGAATTGGGCAAAACTGGTCTCATAAAGTACATGTATAAATATTCCGCTTCCTTCTTCCTCTACCGCTAGCTAGGAACAAATTGGCTTCGGGCGGATGGTCGAACTCGCTGTGAGGGTGGATGAGTGATGTAACACAACAGATAACTAATTCCCCATTTCTCTTGCTCCCTAGCAACCCAAGATCGATCGCGAGTGCAAGGAGACGCTTACAATGGTGCTAGAGTGGACGACAATGGACGATGGCAAATGAGTAGGTGATTCCCTTCGAGGGCTGTGGAGAGAGGAGGGGAGAGATGAGTGAGTCAGTAGGACAATACGCGAGCCGTCTGATCCTTCCTAGGGATCATCAGGTTGATGCCTAGTAGGCGCTGGTTTTTCAACCATCCTTAGAGAAGGGTGAATAATTGAATCCAATCAGAAAGGTGATAAAGTTATCGACAGGAAGAAGCTTGATCGAAGTGAGATATCAGTAGAACAATGTTCTGATCTATAAAAGGTACTAGCACAGTGCTCCCTCCGATTCCATAATGTAGTGCGTATAAATTTTAAAAAAAGTCAAACTTTGCAAATTTTGACCAAGTTTATAGAAAGACCAATTTATATCTACAATTTCAAATAAATAAAATATGAAACTACATCAGGCGATGAATCTAGTGATATATGTTTGGCATTCTAGATGTAAATGTTTTTCTCCACAAATTTGGTCAAAGTTTGTAAGGTTTGTCTTTTCGAAAACTCTATATGCACTATATTGTGAAATAGAGGGAGTATTACACACCATACTAACCACTCGGACACAAGTATCCCGCAAGAAAAAGATGGTTATGAGAATTGTTGTGCTCCAACACACCAGAAATCAAAATATTCTGTTGATGCATTGTGTTTCTTTAGCTGTGTGTAATATTTTCGTCAATAGTGAGATGACTTTATCGATTTTGAACTCCATGACTCTGGTTTTCAGCACACACTGTGAGTGCGTGCGTAGGTGATAGTGTGTGTGCGCGCGCATGTTTGCTTACGTTGTACTTTGTGTTTTGGCCACCAGGGTTCAAATCCTGGTGCTCGCATTATTTCTGGATTTATTTCAGAATTTCCGGCGATGCGCTTTCAGTGGGAGGAGATGTTCCCCTTGACGACGAGGCAACTACGGTGACTTCGTAAATCTCAAGATGATATGCCGGCTCAGTCTCTTGGAGGTTCTCATAGGGGTATGGTGCGTGTGTGCGCTCATAGGGATGAGTGTATGCGCGTATGTAGGAGCTCGTCTATACTGTGTTAAAAAAACAATTTGTGTTACCATTTCCCTACTGATACAGTACAAGAAACATGTCCTATTACCTAACTAGGAACTGGATTCCTCAATTTCCCATCTTTGCTTTGGCGTCCCTTTTGGCTAAAAAGCAAATCCCACCCAAAAGCTGCATAATATCCATCCATCCACAAACGAAACCACCCCAACCCACAGTGACCAGTACGGCGTAGGCAATAACCACTTAACTGACCTTGTGAGACATGAGCTCAGCTCAGCCGGTTGGTTCCAATTCCTACCCCCGCGGCGCACCACCGACACTCCCTCGCCCGACCCCATCCGATCTCACCCCACCCGACAAATCATGGCCTCCTCGCCTCACCGCTTTGCACTGTTAAATCCAGTCCGCCCTTTCTTATCACCACGCCGCTGTACCCTATTCTACTCATTTTACACTCCTTGGAAACGGAATCCATGGCGCATAGTAAGTCCACACAAAACCCTACATGTGCAGCTGCGCCTCGCACCCCTTTTATAAAACCCCGCACACACTCGCACACACACTCCATCCCCCAAAGCAGCTCCCCCCAGTCCCAGCTCGCTCCACACTGGCCAGCCCGCAGCCCCTGGCACGCTAGCTTGCTCTAGCTATAAGCTAGCAGGGCCTCCCGCGTGGCATTGCCTCGTCCCGGCCGCCGGCGAGGGGATCCAGCTTGGCTAATAAGGGCAAGGCGGGCGGCGAGCGAGCTAGCGATGGACGCGGCGGTGGGGCTGCCGGATGCGTGGTCGCAGGTGCGGGCGCCGGTGATCGTGCCGCTGCTGAAGCTGGCGGTGGCGGTGTGCCTGCTGATGTCGGTGCTGCTGTTCCTGGAGCGGCTCTACATGGCGGTGGTCATCGTCGGGGTGAAGCTGCTCGGCCGCCGGCCGGAGCGCCGGTACAAATGCGACCCCATCTGCGAGGACGACGACCCCGAGCTCGGCAGCGCCGCCTTCCCCATCGTGCTCGTCCAGATCCCCATGTTCAACGAGCGGGAGGTACCACATTTCCGCGCGCACACCCACACATTCCGCCCATCGCCATTGCCACCAAGCTCGCCTCCAGCTCCAGTCCCCTCTTTGTTCCTCTCACCCATTGGTTCTCGCAGCATTTAACATTTTTTGTGCGTGATAATACGTGCAGGTGTATCAGCTGTCGATCGGCGCGGTGTGCGGGCTGTCGTGGCCGTCGGATCGGCTGGTGGTGCAGGTGCTGGACGACTCCACGGACCCCCTCATCAAGGTGAGGAGATCTTATCTCCGCCCGCTCTCGGGTCGAACAGTACAAGTAGTGGTGCCAGTGGTAGTACCGGCCTGGTAATTATGGGGGCTCATGTTCAGTTGTCGGTGACTACGCCCCCATCCCCCACCCCCAAACTATCCATGGTCCGTCCACCCGAACCTCGAAGCTCCCGGGATTCCCTCTCACTCCACCGTCCCCTTTTCCATTTTTCCCAAAGGGAAAAGCCGTGACACCCGGGGCGCTCGCTGCAGTGCCAGACTCCGACCGGCCTTGTCTTTCAGACACGTCGCCTGGGCCGCATCATATGGTACTGCCTGCCTCGCGGTCGCCGTCACGGCACAGGGCTTCTCCCTCTTTATAATTAAGAGCAAGGAGCCATTCCCCCAGCTCCCAGCGAGATTTGGCAGTTTGGCCATCGGCTATTAGTTACCAGTAATAACTCTCAGCCTCACCTAGCAGCAAACCTAACCATGTGCGGCGCACGCTGTGTAACAAACAATTCTGAAATGTTGTTTTTAACATTTGTGCCTAGTCAATTTAGACGCGTGTTCAGGAGGTGTAGTAGTACTAGTTGACACGCTTGCGCCTGTCGGTGGCCAAGTGATGTTGTGTCTTGTGTGTGCGGTTATACGGCTGTCTCTCCGTTTCCGTGATCGGAAAACAGGGGGGGCAAAGATCAAAACCGTTTTCCATTTTTATCCAGCCTCCAAACTGGGATTCACATTGGCGGGTCGCGATAATCGAGGAAGAGGGGGGCAAAAAAATCTGGGCATCTTTCGCGCGCGAAGGAACGACTCCCGATGATTTTGGCGGGGCGGGCTATGCTGGAGTAGCAAGAGGGCGCCCGCGGTCCTGTGTCGTCGTTAATTGGAGTTTGGGTGCGCATTAAATGCCCCCAACGGTTTGACCGACGGGCCACAAGAGGCGATTACCCTATCTTTTACCAACAAGAGCTGGCACTTGCCAGGGTATTTTCTTTCTTTTATTTTACGGCCTTCCTTCCTTGAGGTAAAAATAAAATAAAATAAAATAAACGGGAGCAAAGCAAGGCAAACCCCCTGGCATGGCTCGGGGTTATTCCCCTGGAAATCACGTGCGGGGCACGTGACGGGGCACGCCGTTAAATGTGTCATCAAGTCGCCACCGTAGTTGTACGTGATCCTCGCGATCGGCAGACAAGATTCCAGTAATTAAGCATGGGGGTACGTAGGCCGTGTCAAGGTATGCTTGGCTGGTACGGTGCTCCGTCGTCGGTTCTCATTACTCATTAGTTTGTTTAGGCCATGGTCAGCCCTTGCTTGGCCCAGCCTAGGACGTTGATTGTAATCCACGTTTGGTTCTACTACCACGCTTGGTCCTGGTTTACCAGGGGTCCACGATGTGTAAACCATGTGTTTAGTACAATGTAGTAATGGCATTACATGGTTTGCAGCTTAGTGGTTTCCAAGCTTAGAAAGATGCCAACAGTATCATTATCTTAATAGTATTGATTATGGTACTTGTCTCTCCAAAAGGAGGATACCATGATTGGAGCCCAATACCTCTATGAGAGCTGTGGACATTTTACGTCCCAATAATTGCCTACTCGTCATGAATATGAAATGTGATGCTCTGTGTGTGTTTGTCAATCAACGGCGGCTAATCATCATGTGTGCTTGGCCCGTGTAGGAAATGGTTCGGATGGAGTGCGAGCGGTGGGCGCACAAGGGGATCAACATCACGTACCAGATCCGGGAGGACCGCAAGGGGTACAAGGCCGGCGCGCTCAAGGCCGGGATGAAGCACGGGTACGTGCGCGAGTGCGAGTACATGGTCATCTTCGACGCCGACTTCCAGCCGGACCCCGACTTCCTGCACCGCACCATCCCCTACCTCCACCACAACCCGGAGATCGCCCTCGTCCAGGCGCGATGGAGGTTTGGTAAGTTTTCACCAAAAAATCCACTACTTCAAAATAAATAAAAAATTTGTGACTTCAACTTCCAACACTAGCGTGCGTTAGGGGAAGCAAAAGTAGAAAAATCTTGGCATCTTGTGCGTATGTAGGCTAGAATAATCAAAGAGAAAGGCAGGAAGGGAGAAAGAAAAAGACAGAAGCCACCGTGCTTCAAAGGTTTCACCGCGATTCAGTCTAGGAATCAGGATCGGCGGCGAGTTTCCCTGTTTGGAAGCAAGCCTAGGATGCGTCCAAGCCCAACTAACTCTTCTTCCAACCGTGCTGTCTCGCCCGAAGGCCACTGGGATGTAGCTGGACACCTGAAGGAAGATTGAAGTTTCCTCTTAACGCTAAAAAAATAATAATGCCCGCAGAGCGTCATGCCTCGTCGGGGATAAGCTAACGCGGTGGTGCCAGTACGCTCTGCTAGATCTGGCGGGTGGGTTGCGTACCGTGGCGCAATGGTACGGTTGGGAGGGATGGCAAGTTAAGTCCTGGAGGGACGGCACGTCCTCGTGCCCGCCACTGTTGCGTGCGGCGCGCCTCGTTCCCTTCCTTCCCTGGGGCGGCTGGCTGTTGGGTCGGCCGGAGTTTACTCCGGCCCGGCTCCTCGCCGATCCGATCGCGCCGCGCGCACGATCTAAACGAGGGAGACCCCCCTCGGCCGTCGTCGTCGTCGTCGGTGGCGCCGTCGGTGATCCGAATAGTGCTGCGTGGCGTCCGCTCATTAGGCTCTCCGCGCTTTTCCCGGTTAGCAGCGTGGGCCACCGGACAGATCTTCGGGCGTCCACGTGGTGCGGGCCGCCTCTACATGACCCGCGGGCCCGGGCGTGGGCCACGTCGGCCATGGCTTCTTGTCACTACCGCTTGCGGTTGCGGTGCAGTGCAGGCAGGGCGTGTCGTGTCCTGGCGCCCGGGATTTGTCCTCGCAGGCAACAATAGAAATTGCCACGGAAGAAGAGATATATCTGAGATTCTCGGTGTTTAGTGTTTAGATCATCATTGCATTGCATGATGCCACCAGCTCGCGTCCTAGATTCACCTTTGGAGACGTGGGGCGCGGCCAGATTAGCGCTCCAATCCAATCCGGCGCCGGCTTGAATTGTGCCGTGATCCCGTGATGTGTCTGCAAAGGCTGCAGGGTCCGCCCTATAAAGCTCCAAGATTTACGAGTGCTCCCTATTGCTAACCTCCAAGATTTACTTTTTATTCGACCGTGTCAGTGCGCCCACATCCTCTGTTCGGTCCAACTGTACTGTACGGGTGCACCACAGTTGGAAGTAACCGAACAAAACCAACCCTGTTATTATTCCCCCCACAAAACGGAACAAAGCATGCTCAATGTGTTTGATGCCGGTAATAGTAAAAAAGAAGGCGAGCAACTGTGCAAGTGTAACTATTTACTGTAAAAGTCCAAGGGTGACAGTGAAGAGTTGGTCTGGTAGTGACTTTTGAGCTGTACATTTTTCCCTGGTGACAATCATATACTGAAGATGCTGAGTGTCCTGTTGTTGGTGGTGATCAGTGAATGCAGATGAATGCTTGATGACGAGGATGCAGGAGATGTCCTTGGATTACCACTTCAAAGTGGAGCAGGAAGTGAGCTCCTCCGTCTGCGCCTTCTTTGGCTTCAACGGTGAGATTTCAATCCCTCCGTTCTTCCATGTCCTTTCCGATGATTTTATTCGATGTTGGTACCAATTTATCCGTGACATCTGTCTAACAATCTCAATGATTTCTTCTACCAGGAACCGCCGGTGTGTGGCGCATTGCTGCAGTGAATGAAGCAGGGGGCTGGAAGGACCGGACCACCGTGGAGGACATGGATCTGGCTATCCGGGCCAGCCTCAAGGGGTGGAAGTTTGTCTACCTCGGCGATGTTCAGGTACACTGATCAATCATGCAAACCATCAGATTCAGATAACATACAGCGCACATCCTTTGGCTTTTCTGTTTCATTACCACGTTCCTATTTTTTTAAATGAGACAGTAGTAAAAGGAATTTGACAGTGAAAAATTGGAGTTAACGAATATTCTGCAATGTTTCTCAGGTTAAGAGTGAACTCCCCAGCACTTTCAAAGCCTTCCGGTTTCAGCAGCACAGATGGTCGTGTGGTCCGGCTAACCTGTTCAGGAAGATGCTGTTGGAGATTGTGACAAATAAGGTCTGTCCCAGCACCATCAAGTCCAAATTCCTTTTTAAAGCCAAACAACTTAATTGTGTTGCTAACTCGGGTGCTATTGATCTATGCAGAAAGTGACAATCTGGAAGAAGTTTCATGTCATCTACAACTTCTTCTTGGTGCGCAAGATCGTCGCCCACATTGTGACATTCACCTTCTACTGCATCATCATCCCGACAACCATCTTTGTCCCCGAGGTTCATATACCGAAGTGGGGTTGCGTCTACATTCCAACAATCATCACTCTTCTCAACTCTGTTGGAACTCCCAGGTAATTAAATTATAGCCAGTAAGAGCTCACATTCACATAAAAATACAATAAGCAAGTAATGATCGTTCAATTATGAGTAGTATTTGATCAAACTGTGTGTTTACCTGACGAAAATGCATCAATTTTGGCAGGTCTTTTCACTTGCTTTTCTTCTGGATCCTCTTCGAAAACGTCATGTCACTGCATAGAACCAAGGCCACATTGATTGGCTTGTTAGAGGCAGGCAGGGCGAACGAATGGGTCGTCACGGAGAAGCTCGGCAGCGCCATGAAGATGAAATCTGCTAACAAAGCATCAGCCAGGAAGTCATTCATGAGGATGTGGGAGAGGTACTGAACCAATATGACAACCACACATATTTTGCCACCTTTTCCCCCTCGGCTTTCGGTTACTAACTTTCAGAGATGGAAAATTTCAGGTTGAACGTTCCGGAGCTCGGAGTTGGGGCCTTCCTCTTCTCTTGTGGATGGTACGATGTCGCGTTCGGGAAGGACAATTTCTTCATATACCTTTTCTTCCAGTCGATGGCTTTCTTCGTCGTCGGGGTTGGCTACGTCGGCACAATCGTCCCTCCATCATAACTGAAAGAACGTCGGGATCATCTCGCTGAGCAGTTCACAGTTCCCTGAGAAATCAGCAAAAGTTAGTTGGCCGTGTGCCGTGCATAGCCAGTTCAAAAGTAAAGATCACGCAGTCTTGTCTCGGTTTCTCTCTGTTTTCCTTTCCTCTTTGGAGACTGATAGTATTGCAGCATTCCCTTGAATGTGCTATTGTAAAAGAAAGCGAGGTGCAGTGTAAGGTCACTGCATGTGTATTTGTGGTGTTCTCTTTTTGCTTGTAGCAAGTACGTGCCCGTGGTTATGGGGAGTAGGATGTCTGCTTCCAAGTCGAATGTAATACTAATAGTATAAGAAAGGAAAAAGGTTCAGGAATGTGTGAGCAAGATCAGATTGTTCGGATTTTCCGTGTGCCGCCTTCAAAATTTTACGTGTGCAGTGTGCTAGATGAACCATTGTTCCCCAGGTAGTGCCAGTCGACACCTGTTGAAGCAGAAGAGAAGACACGCGTGCTCAAGAAAAAAAAAACCCCATCAAACCAACCAAACAAACTGGTATTCAGAATAACTTTAAACATCCATCCTAAGTTGCGTAGGTCTTCATCCTCGTGATATGCA